ATTAGTTTCCTTCTGTTGCATAAAAGAGCATACCAAAAAGGACCAAAGTTCAACCCCTTTGATGCTTTTTGGTAACATGCCTAATTAAAAATAACTAGGCTCTCCAATGCATAATTACATGAACACCTAATACTCTAAATTTCCAGCCAATTTTGCTTCAAACATAAATATGCACCAGAAGTCTGCATGATCGACATACTACTCCCTGCAGTATCTTTACTGTTTCTGAATCAAGGCTCCTTCTTGAGCTCAGTATTTTCACTACATTTCCTTGCTGTGCAATCATTTCCCAGTTGGACAATTAATAAGTGCTTTTTCTCCACAGCCCTTGGCATGTAACCCCCCTTACCCTGTATTTGAGCATGCACTATATACCTTCTTCACTCACTGGTTTTGGCAGTGACCCACAATCTAAATCTCTTTCCTCCATTTGATATAAGTGAAACTATAATTATCTAGAGGTAATTTCAAATTACTACTTCATTCCACTAGCAACTGATGAAGATTAGTGGTCTTGCCTTGCATCTGAGTAAGTCAGCAACGTAATCACAAGAGAACTCAGCAGGCAACATTTGATTCATGTGAACTCAATTACTTCTGTCAAACATATTCACTTCAATAAAAAGCAGAAACTTCCAAAATGGGTTTTTGCTAACAGTTTTGTACTCAAAAAAATTTCACATGACTATTAAGGGGAAAATGGCATGAATTTTCTCAGAAATAATAATAAATAATAAGTATGAAAACATGCTTGTAAAATGGATTTAATATACTATTAGTACCTGAAAATAAAGAATATCTCAAACAAATAAATTTGAATACTTAAGGCAGTTTATTATAGAAAATTTAGGCATATAAGTAAGCCTTCAAAAAATAAATGCACTCTGTATTTTAAGTTGATAACAGAAACCAGCATATTTGGTTACTTTGTTAAAAATCAGGTAATTATGGAAAAGGTAGTTAAATTCTTATAAAGGAAATTAAATAAGGAGACATGGAGATGATAGATCATGATCTACTATTGATTAATGGACAGGGATTCCTGAATCACTTCTTGGTTGTCTTCTGGGTTGAAGCCATATGTTAATGAGCTGCCTAGCATTTTGCTTCTTGAAGGTTTAGTTGCTAAGAGACTGTGGGTCAGGTCTATCATGCCCTCCTTGTGTATCAGCTAACATGAAAATGATCTGAAAGCAACTACCTGGTCACCTCCTAGGAAATCTTAATATACGATAATCATTACAATAGGTTTATTCAACTTTAGCTTCTTATATTTATAGCCTTAATTATATCACAACATATTTTGATTATCAAAGAAACCAAGTAATTAAATGTAAGTATGTAATAAGGCTATATTTATAAATAAACACATTTTAGCATGTGATGCTTTGAGGTCTACAAAAGTCACTAAGATAACCTCTGTAACAGTTAATATATCATAAGCCAATCATATACCATTTAATATTTGAAATTTTGAAAATTTGGCCTGAGAATCTTAGGACTAAGTAAAGATTAATTTAAAAGACATTTGTCAATTTTGTGACCAATGATGCTTCCTACAGGTAACAAAGGTAAACAAAGGTAAACAAAATTACTTATTTAAAATTAATAATTTTAACATAGTATTTATAAAATAGATAACTAACTTTTGAATTGTGGTGTTGGAGAAGACTCTTGAGAGTCCCTTGGGCTGCAAGGAGATCCAACCAGTCCATCCTAAAGGAGATCAGTCTTGAATATTCATTGGAAGGACTGATGCTGAAGTTGAAACTCCAATACTTTGGTCACCTGATGGGAAGAACTTACTCATTGGAAAAGACCCTGATGCTGGGAAAGACTGAAGGCAGGAGGAGAAGGGGCCAACAGAGGATGAGATGGCTGGATGGCATCACCGACTCCATGGACATGAGTTTGAGCAGGCCCCAGGGGTTGGTGATGGACAGGGAAGCCTGGAATGCTGCAATTCCTGGGATCGTAAAGAGTCAGACGTGACTGAGCAACTGTACTGAACTGAACCAAGAGAGCTAATAGGAACAAAGCCATGCAGGATCTTAGCCTATTTTATAAACTTTATTTGAAGGAGACAATTATATGTGTGTGTGTGTATATATATATATATGTATATACATACATATATATTTGAGTATAGTTGATTTGCAATGTTGAGTTAGTTCCAGGTGTACAACAAAGTGAATTAGTTATTGCATATATGTATATATGTGTGCACTTTTTTAGATTCTTTTCCTATACAGGCCATTACAGAGTAGTGAGTAGAGTTCTTGTGCTATACAGTAGATCTTTATTTCCTTATTAGTTATCCATTTTAAATACAGTAGTGTGTTTATGTCAAATCCAATCTCCCAGTCCATCCTTAAAAAAAAAGAAAACTATTGAAGCACTTTAAGTGTCTTGGGAGTAGGAAGGGACTGGGAGGATAGGTTTGTGCAAATACCAGATTTGTGTTTTTGTACAGGTGACACACTCACATGGCTCAAAACCCAAAACTATATAAAAAGCTATTCATTATTTACAAATAAAGTTTCCAACAAGATATGCTTACAGACTGGAGGAAAAAAGGAAACAGAAAAGTGGATGATTTTATGAGAGCTGGGTGGGAAATTTATAAATACTTTGTGAGGTATTGAAACTGAGAAGTGAGCAGGAAGGATATATCAAGAACGATTCTTAGATTTCTGACCTACCAAGGATATTTCCAAAACAGCAAGATCCCCACTTAGAGGTTTGTGGATAGCACATTAAAACTGAAGAAAGAGTGATAGTGGAATTTTATATGACACACACACTCATACATTTACATTTGCGCATACATATTTTGAATAGGTTTAAATACATATATTTATTTATATGGGACCATCTGTGATGCCCTAATTTTCCAAGACAAACCTTCAACATTTGTTTATTCACTCAGTAAATTATTCACAGAATAAATGTTTGAAATGCCTCATAGAATGGCCACATATCACTGGTACACGGGAAAACACCAAGAGGCACTGTTGACACAGACTACATTGTGCAGAACATCTTCTGGGGCAGGGACTGCGAGGGCTATGTAGTCTACTGCCTTCATGACCCCACTGCCCTCGTCCCTCCTACCAGAGGAGGGTAATAAGCACATTAAGACCGAATCCAGTTGAGTGAAGCTTCTACCAAGTGGCCTCTCCTTTTTCTCTCAGGCCTCTACTCCTCAACTACTAAGAGTGTGAGAGGAGAAAGACGCAGTGGATTTATGCACTAAAAGCATCCTGTCAGAATACTACTTCCCCCAGGTATTTTCATGATAAGCACCTGCAGAATATTTTAACCCAGCAACAATAAAAAATCATCCTCTGAATGCAAAGGTCCTTTATACCCTGTACCAATCTGGATGAAGACAAAGATCATTGTGTTCTGAACTAAAGTTACCACATATCATTCATGAAAATGATATAAGAAGATAATCAAATAGAGCATGCTGCCTTTTAATACTGGTAAACAAATTCTTAGAAATAATAAGATTTTGTAAGCATTTTAGGGAAAACAATGCAATGTAGTCAATGGGTTATCTTTAACTCCCACTGCTGATTCTACAGTTACATATATCTTCACCCATGCCAAGAAGATTGCTCAAAAAGAGAAGTTAAGGTAATGTTAGTTAAAACTTTCCTTTAAATTCAACCCTAAATAAAATCTTATTCATTTCTTTGACAGACTTAAAGGCATACCTGAAAAATAATTTTGATTTAATAAAACTTTATATACAAAGGAATAGCGAGTTGTAGATTACATGGAGAAATAATCATGCACTTAATTGTAGATGATAATACAAACATGAGCTGATGCAAATATGGTGCAATGCATTTCTAGAGATAAAGAAGCAATGTCAGTTTGGTTTACAGATTAGTGTTATTTCCCTGGCTCTACAGTCAATCTACAGTCAAGCCTGAAGAAATGTGAGCAAGGCTGAGCCACATTACATACTGAATTTAGAAAATAAATTGCACCTGAAGTTACCAATGGGCACAGGGGACTTCTCAGTATTTGGTTTTCTCTTCAGTTAAGACACATTAACTCTCATTATCTATTTGGTATGTGCATATCATGGTGAAAACAAGTTGAGGTTCATAAGGATTATTTTTTGTTTTCCTCTAAGGAAAATGTGTTTTCTTCCTAATAAGCTGTTCTTCACTTTGACATAAAGTACTACCCTGTTTCATGAAGCCACTGAGAAAGATCCAAGTTTTAAAGGGCAAGTCACCACACTGTGGACAAAATCAGAGTATTTTAAAATGAAAAAGAAGCATGCATGATCAAGTTTCAATTTAAGAGAAAAATTAAAACAGAAAAAATAATCCAAGTGCAAACTTCTTTGAAATGACCTTTCTGTATTGGTTCTTTCTCCAAACAGTTACATTCTTGAGCACTACTTATTATGCATTTAAAGTTAGCCTGTAAATTCTTAAAAGCAAGTATGTAATAGCTATTATATGCAAAGAACACGGTAAACTAAGTCCTGTCACTTTCTACATATGTCCAGTGAAGTTCATATGGCAGAACTCATACCTAAAGAATATTTAAAAGGCAGTTAAAAGCATGCCAAAAGTCTCATCGAAGTTTACATTTGAATTTCACATAACAAGAGTTTATTTTTCTCTTCAGAGAGACAGAGTCATGACAGAGTAGCAGATAAACAAAGAAATAATCCCTTGAAGTGAGTTGCTCAAAAATAAAATTCCTGCAAGCAAAATGAATATGAAATACTACACTGCAAGTAAGACACTCTCTGAGTACTAATTATGTATATCCAGTAGAATATAACTTCAAATCTTTCATCATTGCCATAAGTTTTAAAATTCTGAGAGGAGAGAAATCAAACTTGAAGAGAAATAATCTCCATAAATTAGCAAAGTAAAAGGTCATTTGCTCATAATCACTGGAAGATATACATATACATGATCCAAGGGAAGCAGACAGCCCCTGCAGATCCGCAGGCAAACTCTTACCTTGACAGGTGCCGTTTTTCTCTTCGTATCCGGCCTTGCACATGCATTTCCCAATGGGTACCAGCCACTCCCCTTCAGCGCTGCAGTGCATTTTGGGTGGTTCGTCTGTCACAGAATGGTTGACACAGGAGCCTGCCACTTCAAGTAACTGTGAAGAATCAGCTCCAGTAATTGTGTCAGGGAAGACAGCTAAATGTCGTACCACAGAAGGGCATTTTTTATAATACACTCGCACTGAAACAAGAGCAATGCAAGCACCCACATCTTGAAAAGCGAGATAAAATCCCTTTTTGCTTAGAGGTCCTACATCTCTGACCTCTGTATTCAGTTTCATGACACGGTCACCAAGATCAAGTTCTGTAAAGCTTTCATCGGCAGCAATGGTATCAATTTTGATGTACTGGTTTTCCTTGATGTTTCTCCCATTCTCATTATCTGACTCAAAGTAATACATGTTGAAAGTCTCCTTACAGGTCCCCAGCCCTCCAGGAAGACTGTTGCAGTCCCGCAGAGTAAACTTGAGTTCTATGAAGATTCTGGAAGCACCTTCGTTGGAGATCCAACTGGTCAAAAGCCAGTTATTCTGGTTCTGTTCCATAACTTTGCATACTTGGTATGTGTGGATAGGGGCATAATTTTCATCAACTTCACCAATCTCTTCCCACTGTAGAATATAAAATAGAAAAAAAAAGTAAAAAGATGATTAGAAAATAACCAGAAAAATAAAAGAAAATTAATTCAGATGTAAAATTTCTGCAGCCTCAATATACAGTATTGAGAGAAAGAGATATACAATGAAAATTTTAAAAAATAATTTCCCTTTTCAAATTAAATAAATCAGCAATATATTAGTCATTGTCTCAAATGTAACTCAGGTGTGAACACAAGTGAATGATATTCTCCAGAAAAATCCATGTATTTCAGAGTAAAAATAAAATTCAATATGGGATATGATTAACAAAAAGCAGTGAAAGGGAAGTATGCATATTTGGAACAAAGTTTGTAGAAAAGGAAGTAAATTTTTTAAAACCATAACAATGAGAAAAAAGCAGCAAATGAAGAAAAGAAGGGAGAAAAACATGACTGATCGATCCACACTCAACTCTCAAACAACACAACAATGTAATAAAACTTGAAAGAAAATTCATTAGCTTAAAATTAATAGTTTATTTCATTGAACCAATCTGGTAGGACTCTTTTAAGAACTGCGTTGAAAGTCTTTCAGCCATATCTGATTCTTTGCGACCGCATGTGGAATTCTCCAGGCCAGAATATTGGAGTGGGTAGCCATTCCCATCTCCAGGGGATCTTCCCAACCCAGGGATTGAACCCAGGTCTCCCACACTACAGGTGGATTCTTTACAAGCTGAGCCAAGAGGAAGCCCAAGAATACTGAAGAGGGTAGATTATCCCTTCTCCAGCAGGTATTTCCGACCCAGGAATGGAACCCGGGTCTCCTGCATTGCAGGCAGATTCTTTAACAACTGACGTACCAGGGAAACCCCCCAAATTGTGTTATGAAGGGTTTATTCATACATGTTCCCACAAATATAAACCTAAAGACAGAAAGAAAATAGAGATATGCAAATTATAGACTAGTAATATGGTAGAGAAGGAAATGGCAACCCATTCCAGTATTTTTGTCTGGAGAATCCCAGGGACAGAGGATCCTGGTGGGCTGACGTCTATGGGGTCGCATGCATGCATTGCAGAAGGAAATGGCACTCCAGTATTCTTGCCTGGAGAATCCTAGGGATGGAGGAGCCTGGTGGGCTGCTATCTATGGGGTCGCACAAGTCGGACACGACTGAAGTGACTTAGCAGCAGCAGCAGCAGCAGCAGCAATATGGAGAACCTTGTCATTTCAAACACTGTGATTTTTTGTTATACATAACCTGAGAATGTATTCTTTCTTACTAAAGCTTATTTTATGCACAATGACCTTAAAAGTTATGATTATATATACAGGATGTAGAAAAATTAAGTACAATTTATATAGCTTTCAAAATACTATTCAGTCAAATAAGAGATCTAAACCTCTCTCTCCTAGCAAACTATCAACACTACAGTTCTGAGAATGTCAGGGTACCATACCACATTTTATACAGTGTAAATCAGATTTTTACTCTTCATAAAGATGTTATTATAACAAAATATTTTAAACCTGTCTAAAATCTATGGGAATAAAAGTACATGCAATTTTGTTGTAAATCTTTAAAAATTATCCTGAAACACAGACAGCAATGAAACCGTACATACTGACTTTCAATAAATCCAAAATGTGATTTCAGACATTAAGTATTATAGATAATAAACTTCATAGAACTTCATTTCTTTAGACATGAAATTAAATGGAGCATTACTGCTTGATTCTGTTCAACTGACACAGATGTGAAAAATGGCATCACAAGGGATGCACATAAATCGTATACCTTCGATGGCCCCTCTCAGAATTCTAGCTGCCATCAGAAAGACAAGTAAAAGGTGTTAATGAGGGAAAACTGATGAGCTCATTCAAATCACAAGATAGACATCAAGACCGTATCTTACCTAACAACATTTACATTAGAGTGTTACATGAAACCTTCGTTCATTCATTTAATCTCACTTTTGCCCCCTCTCACAATGTATATAAATCGTACTTTGCCTCTGATTTTATTAATCAGCTTTGTCTCTCATTAAACTATTTACAGTTTCTTTATGAAGCCATCCAGGTATCAATGCTCTTTATTATAAATGGTTACTAAATGCCATGCTTAATATTTCATGGAAAAAAGCATCTCAACTAACCAAATGAAAATAACAAAAATGATTAATTTATTGTAAGAAGATTAAATGTATTTCCTTTGAATTAATAAATCAGAAAAGAGCATCAAAAAAACTCTTCCCTGAAAATGGAAAACCAAAATGCCACATTATCTGTTTTAGATTCACTTATTTTTTTAAGAATTCTCCAATGCAAATCACAAACATATTTCTAATCCCTGGCCTTGAATCATTTATAAAAGACCTATTTCTGCATCATATAGTCCAACAGGTCCCTGCTAGCAAGTCAAAAGAACTGGACAAGTAAAAGGAATAGTAGCATTTTGCAAGATAATAAGGCAAGAAATTAACAGTCTTTGTCTGTACAAAGTCCAAGGTACCACAAATATTATTAAAAATGCAAGCCAAGCAGCACTTGACAAGACAGCTTAATAGGTACTGCTTCGGGTGATAATTTCTAAGTATGTGCTTAAGTATGTTACTCCTCTGAATATTCTCAATTAATAAGAGAAAAACTGTAATTTTCTTTGATGTTAGAATATATCACGGTGGGATTTTATTTTTCTTTTCAAGTGTCCAAAATATAAATGAAGGCTCACATTTTCTATTTCTAATGAATGAATAGGAATAATTTAATTTAAATAATTATGGCCAAAAGCCATTCAGAGACTCAAAAAGGTAATATAGATGCATTTCCAATAAATAGCTGCTCCTATTTAGACAAATACACCAAGAAACAAACAAAAATATTTCCTTTATTTTAGATTGGCTAGCTGAAATAAAATGCTGAATTCTTCGAAGTTGTCTTTCCTTTTAATACAAAGAAGACATCTTGCTATCTTCAGCAAATATCTTATTTACAAAGAAGAAACAAGTGGATGAAGAGAAAGCAACACTCTCCAAGAACTTAAGATAACAGCAGGTATATTCCTAGACACTTTTGCAAATGTCATGTCAACGAATTACCATAATTTAAAATAAATGACCCAATCAAAAAATGGGCCAAAGAACTAAACAGACATTTCTCCAAAGAAGACATACAGATGGCTAACAAACACATGAAAAGATGCTCAACATCACTCATTATCAGAGAAATGCAAATCAAAACCACAATGAGGTACCATTACACGCCAGTCAGAATGGCTGCTATCCAAAAGTCTACAAGCAATAAATGCTGGAGAGGGTGTGCAGAAAAGGGAACCCTCTTACACTGTTGGTGGGAATGCAAACTAGTACAGCCGCTATGGAGAACAGTGTGGAGATTTCTTAAAAAACTGGAAATAGAACTGCCATATGATCCAGCAATCCAACTCCTAGGCATACACACTGAGGAAACCAGATCTGAAAGAGACACGTGCACCCCAATGTTCATCGCAGCACTGTTTATAATAGCCAGGACATGGAAGCAACCTAGATGCCCATCAGCAGACGAATGGATAAGGAAGCTATGGTACATATACACCATGGAATATTACTCAGCCATTAAAAAGAATTCATTTCAATCAGTTCTAATGAGATGGATGAAACTGGAGCCCATTATACAGAGTGAAGTAAGCCAGAAAGATAAAGAACATTACAGCATACTAACACATATATATGGAATTTAGAAAGATGATAATGATAACCCTATATGCAAAACAGAAAAAGAGATACAGATGTACAGAACAGACTTTTGTACTCTGTGGGAGAAGGTGAGGGTGGGATGTTTCGAGAGAACAGCATCAAAACATGTATATTATCTATGGTGTAAGAGATCACCAGCCCAGGTTGGATGCATGAGACAAGTGCTCGGGCCTGGTGCACTGGGAAGACCCAGAGGAATCGGGTGGAGAGGGAGGTGGGAGGGGGGATTGGGATGGGGAATACATGTAAATCCATGGCTAATTCATGTCAATGTATGACAAAAACCACTACAATATTGTAAAGTAATTAGCCTCCAACTAATAAAAATAAATTAAAAAAGAAGAGCATAGACAGAAAATGCAATATTTTCAATGTAATTCTGTTGGAATTCCTATGCTTCCATAGCATAATAAAAGTATTTGCTGATTACTGTAAGTGAGGTTCCTGGGCAGTTTGGACACGTGGTCATTGCACATAATTTAGTGGGTTTAGTTCTATTCTTGTCCTGCTACTCCTCAAACCCCACCCTCTAAGCCTAGACTTTTCTCTGCGTTTGTTTTCTCCTCATTCCTATTCCTTTGACTTAATATTAAAGAATTGATTACAAATCCAGCTTGAGCTGGCTTAATTTCTCTCTCAAACTCTTGGGCTTGCTTCTTTCCCCACTGGCCACTGAAAACAAATCAGTTTCCTTCTAATCCCATGTTTGGCCAGGCATCAAAAGTCAGCCACATTCATCAGAGAAGTGGAAAAGAAAAAGGACTGGTTTTCATATCCATATGTGTATCATGGAGTTACCAACTTTTCCTACGCAAGCTATTAAGAGCTGTTTTCTCCCTGCCTGCTTCTCACAGGCCTATTTGATTTCTTCCCCCAAGCTCATACTGTCGCTTATATTCTTAGCATTTATTTCATTTCCAAGCCCCTTGCCTGTACAACACCTTGTGTGCATTCACAGTTTAAAATACTGACTCAGGACACTTAGCCTAGACTAAGATCTCCCCTTACACTACGTCCCCAAATACACATGAAGAATCATCAAGTGAACGGAGTCATTTTGACCTTTCAGGTTATGGGGACACCTGGTATTTAGTTCTGTTTTCATTATTGTGTGTTTATATGTTTTACATAGAGATTAATTTACTGAGGCTAAAGCACAGTGATCAGAAATACTGTAGCAGAGGCCTGTATATACACACTTAACTGATCTTGTATAAAGGAAAGATTATCAGCCTTAAGTCCTAGAATTAGTCCCAGCTTTTACAGTATCTAGAT